CAAAAGCAGGCCCACACTCCCCATTGAATTACTAATAAGTTTATATTTGTTTAAATTGTTCTTCATTTTAATTATTGTATTGTTTTAAGTGTTTTTTGCACTACAAATAGGATATGTGCAGTGTGTATAGGAACTAATTCATGTTTTTTCCCCAAATTATAATCCGGCCCTCCAACAGTTTGGGGGACTGTGACCTGGCCTTCTGTTGAAAAAGTTTGTGGACCTCTGGTGTATTGTTTTGTTGTTCTATTGTTTTGCTTTGATGTTTTTGATTTTGCTTTCGGTTGTATTTGTTATGCTATTGTTTGTTGAGGCCTTGGCCTTTGTAAGCTGCATCAAGTCCTTCGGGAGATGCTAGTGAGGTACAAATAAAGTTAATAATAATAATAATAAAATAATAGCTAAAAAGAAACCATAGCATGCTTCTACAGCAGGCATGGGCAACCTTGGCCCCCTCCAGGTGTTTTGGACTTCAACTCCCACAATTCCTAACAGCCTACTGTTAGGAATTGTGGGAGTTGAAGTCCAAAACACCTGGAGGACCCAAGGTTGCCCATGCCTGCTGTAGAATGGGCTGTATTTTGGTGATTCACCAGCTCTCTTTGGCAAAGACCTTGTGAAACTATAATTCCCATGGGAACACAGAAATGCTGGACCACTCTAACAACCATCTTGTCAGATTACACAGAGAAGCCATTGAAATCCACAAGTTTGTGGACAATTTCAACAGAAAGGAGGAAACCATGAAAATGAACAAAATCTGGCTACCAGTATTTTTAAAAAACTCTAAAATTACAACAGCAAAACAACAGAGAGGAAACAATCTGGGACATCTAATCACCTCTCATCAAAAGATTGAGAGGCCATCAAATGCTAATCAAGGTGGTCAGTTGAAACTTTCACACCTAGCTCCAACAGACAAGAGTTCTTTGTCCCACCCTGGTCATTCCACAGATATATAAACCCTTTGTCCTAGTTCCAACAGACCTCACTAACTCTGAGAATGCTTGCCATAGATACAGGTGAAACGTCAGGAGAGAATGCCTCTAGAACATGGCCATATAGCCTGAAAAAACCTACAACAACCCAGTGATTCCGGCCATGAAAGCCTTCGACAACACATATAACTCTCATGATTCAATAGTACTGAGCCACGGCAGCTAACGTCATGTCAAACTGCATTCATTCTACGATGCATCAGTGCTCTGTGGCTTAGTTCACCACCATCCGGGTCTATGATTTCCTATGTCATCATCTTCACAGCGAAAATATGTTCTTCCATACTAGTTTAAAACTGACTTAAATAGTCGGCGTAGATAGGGTCTGGGAAACTCCATGAGCAGCCCTTGGATACTACAGGAATAAAGCAAATAAAAATATTAGTCACTTATTAATCAAGATGTGTCCCCTAGCGTTTTGGAGAAGAGGGCAGAGTTCCTTTTTTTGCACTCAGATTCTTGCCCAGCTACTTTAATTTAGACAGAAAGCAATAGATCTGTAACATGCAAAGATTAATGTTAAAATGAAAAGTCTTCCCTCTAGTGGAAAGTAACTATCCCAGCACTCTCATAATAAGTACTGTATGAAGAAATGTAAGGAAGGGTATATCTACACTGCAAAATTAATGCAGTTTGGTGACACTTTCAATTGATATTGTTCACTGCTATGGAATTCTGGGATTTGTAGTTGGATGAGGCACCAGCATGATGGGAAACATAGTACAATTTGGAACTTAGGATACTAATAAGGATGGCATTTGCTGAATAAACTAGCCAAATAGCAGTTAAAAATAAAATAAATAATGGAAAAAGGGATGAAGCCTGCAGGAATACATGAAAAACCTGAATGTCAATTTTAGTATAACATCAGATGTGGGATCACAAAAGGGACAAAATGCACTTATGGGGTGAGCTGGATGTGAGCTTTGCTCCACATGTTAGGTTTTGGAGAAAAAAAGCTAAGGATATTTAATTCTAATGTTTTCATCCAGATTTCTCTTTTGAAGTGCTGCTGATCTTTACGGATGAATATATCCTATTGATTTCCATGGATGTAGCTTGAGGTGATGATGTGTAGGATTTCTGCTTTACAGTTGGTTCTCCATATCCACAGATTTGCATCCACCAATTAAACCATGCATGGTTTGAATATACTCCTCTCTATAAAAAAGAAATATCCATAAAGCAAACCTTGCTTTTGCCATATAAGGGTTGGCATTTTACAACACCATTGGATATAATGAGACTTGAGCATCTATGGATTTTTTTATATGAATGGAGGATCCTGGAACCAAACCCCATCAGATATCAAAGTCCCACAATAATTTTACTGTAGTTTTGAGACAACAGCCCAAAGATAATCTCAGTAAGGTGTAGCCTACTTACTGCCTTTATAGAATTAGTCCTACCTCTTTAACTTTTCTCTCCTAAATCCCAGGCTTCTGCAAGATAGATAGATAGAGAGATAGAGAGATAGAGAGATAGAGAGATAGATATCTTGATGCTTATAATGGGAAAAACTCCTATACTGGTATAAATGTGGTGAATATACATGAGTGCAGCTTTCTGCTTTGCTTCCCCTGCTATGTAAACACATTCTTCGTTTTAGCATCCCTCTGAAGAATTCTGTGCTTCATTAACTGCAAACAAGTAGCTACAGGTCGAGTGTCCCTTATCCAAAATGCTTGGAACTAAATGCATTTTAGATTTTTTAAAATTATTATTTTAGAATCACTGCATTGTATTTATTGATTGTATGTTTGTCATTTTTCCCCCTTTTTTGGAGTTCCTCTGGGGAGAGAGGGTGGATTAAAAATAAAGTTTATATTATTTATTATTATGTCATATTATAGGTATCAGCTTTCTTCACTTACTAGCTTTCAAAACCATACCTATACCTTTGAGATGGAAACCAAGTCGCATTTATACACTTTATACATGTCAGCTTTCTTCATTGCCCAGTTTTCACAGATATGAGAAATGCAACTGCACAAGCAATCCTTTAGTATTTCATAATACAGCTTTACACTCCTGGATTTTGTCTACTTCCTCTATAACTGCCCTTCAAAATCTGCCTTGGTCTCATTTCTTGGCTACAGTCCCCAATGTAATTAATGACCGTGGAAAGTCGAATATCTTCATTGCCATAAGTTCTGTGGCCATTATTGTTGTTTTCTTGATGTTCAACTGCAAATCTGGGATTTGCAGTTTGGTGAGGCACCTGCATTCTTTCTGGGCACTGCAATTTAAGGGAGACGTTGACCTTAAGCTAGAATGTGTCCAGAGGAGAGTGACTAAAATGATAAAGGGCCTGGAGAACAAGCCCTATGAGGAGCGGCTTAAAGAGCTGGGCATGTTTAGCCTGAAGAAGAGAAGGCTGAGAGGAGACATGATAGCCATGTATAAATATGTGAGAGGGAGCCACAGGGAGGAGGGAGCAAGCTTGTTTTCCCTGGAGACTAGGATGTGGAACAATGGCTTCAAACTACAAGAAAGGAGATTCCACCTGAACATTAGGAAAAACTTCCAGATTGTGAGAGCTGTTTAGCGGTGGAACTCTCTGCCCTGGAGTGTGGTGGTGGAGCCTCCTTCTTTGGAGGCTTTCAAACAGAGGCTGAACTGACCATCTGTCGGGGGTGCTTTGATTGCGATTTTCCTGCTTCTTGGCAGGAGGTTGGACTGTGTGGTCTCTTCCAACTCTATGATTCTATGATTTTTATTCTGCTTCATCTCTCTAAATAGAGGCCCATAGCTGCTAACAACACTAAAAACAATACAAGTAATTTATCTTTGGTTTTATATATTGTGAATGAATATTTCGTGGCACATTTGGGATTCTTTCTATGAAAGAGAAAAACAGGAATGCTTCTCCTATATTTTTAATTTTAATATAATTAAAATATAACTTGAAAATAATCTATTACATGACCAGTCAGAGATGGTCTTTTTGTCAATTAAAATGAGCTTTAGGCATTCATCTAGCTCAGGGATCCTCAAACAGAGGATCCAGGGGGCCAGGTCACAGTCCCTCAAACTGTTGGAGGGCCGGATTATAATATGAAAAAAAATTAATTTGAATTCCTATGCATACTGCACATATCTTATTTCTAATTCAAAAAACACTTAAAAACAATAGAATAATTAAAATGAAGAACAATTTTAACAAATATAAACTTATTCGTATTTGAATGGGAAGTGTGGGCCTGCTTTTGGCTGATGAGATAGGATTGTTGTTGTTATGTGCTTTCAAGTCGTTCCAGACTTAGGTTGACCCTGAGAGAGGGCGGGTAAATGACCTTGGAGGGCCATATCCGGCCCCCGGGCCATAGTTTGAGGACCCCTGGTTTAATGTATCTGGACAAGTGATCTGGGGGATAAGTAGGATTTGATTGCACTAACAGGTAAAATAAAGTGCTTGCAAGGGCATTTAGACCTTGAAAAATTAAAGTTCCCATGATATGAATTAACAGTTTTTAATAGCTCACTTTCTCTACAGTGTCAGAAAATGCATTGGGAATGACCCACGAGGTTCTACGGTTCTATGTTTCTAAGACTAGAGACCTTGTAAAACTACAACCTCCAGCATTCCACAACCTGGAGCCAAGGTGAATAAAGAGATGCAAACTTCTGCTCTTTGGGTGTTTTGGATTTCAACTCGCACAATTCCTAACAGCCTACCGTAAGTCTGTTAGGAATTGTGGGAGTTGAAGTCCCAAACACCTGGAAGGCCGAAGTTTACGGAACCTCAAAAGAAAGCTGGAAGCTAGCTAACAGAACGCGTGAATGCGAGAATGCGAGCGCGCGCGCGCCGTTCCCGTGGCAACCGAGCGCGAGCGATAAACACTTTCCCCGGCGCTCGAGAGAGCTTCCCGGCGAGGAAAGTTCCCCCGGCACGTGCGGCATAAGCGAAAGAAGGCGGGTGTGCCTTGTGCGCAGGCGCGGGAGAGAGGTTGCCTTCCACCTGCCCCGCTGCCCAGGAGGGAGGGAGGGAGGGAGGGAGAGACGGGGCGCGCGCACACACACCACTGCCTCCCCCCCTCTCTCTAGTTATTTATCTCGTGCACGCGCACGCGTTGCCCACTTCGCCTCTCGCCCCGAAGAAGGAGGAAGAGAGTGGCACCTCTTCTTCTCTTCGGAGCGCTCCTCTTTCTCCCTTAGCCGGCCATGGGCTGCTCCAGCAGCGTTCAGACCCACGTCAAGGAAAAAAGCCGCCTCTCTTCCAAGACCCCGGACCTCGACGGGATGCAGAAAGGCGGTGAGTGGTGACCCAGGTGGGGTGCATCTCCACGCTCTGCCCAATTGATGCAGTCTGACACCTCTTTCACTCCCATGGCTCAGAGTTATGGAATTAGGAGAGTTTCGTAAAGTCTCTAGCCTTCTCTAGTGCCTTCACACCCCAGGATTCAATGTCATTGAGCCAGGGAAAGTGGTGCCAAACTGCATTAACTCTACAGTGTAGAGATTCACCCTCTGAAGCAAAAGCTGGGTGGGAAAATGAGGGTAAAAGAATCACAGAGTTGGAAGAGACCCATCCAGTCCAACCCCCTGCCAAGAAGCAGGATAATCGCATTCAAAGCACCCCCGACAGATGGCCATCCAGCCTCTGTTTAAAAGCCTCCAAAGAAGGAGCCTCCACCACACCCCAGGGCAGAGAGTTCCACTGCTGAACCAGCTCTCACAGTCAGGAATTTATTCCTAATGTGCAGATGGAATCTCCTTTCTTGTAGTTTGAAGCCATTGTTCCGCATTCTAGTCTAAAGAGCAGCAGAAAACAAGTTTGCTCCCTCCTCCCTATGACTTCCTCTCACATATTTATACATGGCTATCATCATGTCTCCTCTCAGCCTTTGCTTCTTCAGGCTAAACATGGCCAGCTCTTTATGCTGCTRCTCATAGGGCTTGTTCTCCAGACCCTTGATGATTTTAGTCACGCTCTTCTGGAGACAGTCCAGCTTATCAGTATCTCTCTTCAATTGTGGTGCCCAGAATTGGACACAATATTCTAGGTGTGGTCTAACCAAGGCAGAATAGAGGGGTAACATGACTTCCCTGGACCTAGACACTAGACTCRTATTGATGCAGGCCAAAATCTCATTGGCTTTTTTTGCCGCCACATCACATTGTTGGCTCCTTGAAATGTTCCTTCATGCRCTACATTTCTGTCATTGTAGTAAGTTAACACTTCACTTCAGAATTTAGATGTATACTGAGACCTAATACCATAACCTCATACTATATATCCCAAGTGTGGGCAAGCTTGGGTATTCCAGGTGTTTTGGACTCCAAGTCCCACCATTCCTAACAGCCTCTGGCCCCTTCCTTTCCCCCCTCAGCCGCTTTATCTGCTTTGAACCGGATRATATGAGTCTACACTGCCATATAATCCAGTTCAAAGCAGATAATCTGGATTTCATATGCCAGTGTAGAAGGTGCCTCAGAAACTTGAGAAAACAGTGGTTTCAACTGTTTTACATGGAGCTATACATCAAACATGGACCATTCCCAGTTAAGGTTTGCACTGGACATTCAAGTTATGGTTGCAGTATATTTCCCTTCTTTTGGCTATAGTTTTGAATATTAAAGTTCTTGCCTTTGTGGTCTTTTTTCTCTTTTCCTCTTTCTTTCTTTCTTTGCTTACTATGATAACTTTTCAACCAACCAACAAAGAAATTCTGGAAAAGAATTATTAGAATGTATGAATACAGGTAAAAGAAACTCTCATGTTATTTCAATTTGGGGTTCTTGAGCAAAATAGGATTTCATTAAAACTTAGTGCATGTATGACAAAGCCCTAATGGATATAACAAAGCATGCATATAAAATTCAATTGGACATGAAACCATCTGAGTTTAAACTTGATGTGTGATCTTCAGGCCAGGAGGGAGTGGAAGTTGCCAGTTTTCATGCATGGTAACCAGTTTTCAGGAAATGTTTGTAATAAACCACCTAATTTCCCCAGAGGCTTATTTGCTCTGAACACTTTTTGCAGGATGGTTAAGAGTTGCTTGTCAAAATTAATTTGGTTTAGAAACTAGGCTTGATTTGGTAATTCATTCAGACCTGTTGGGACTGACAGAGAGGAAATATTTGTACACAGACTATTGTATCTCTGTTTTCAGGCTACAAATGCTAATCTTTACTCTGATTTCTTTCTTTATCCAGTATGATGATTTGTGGAAAGTAGGATGTTGACATTTGGAGGATGATGGCCATTTGGTAATGACTCCAAGAGTCCTCCAACTGTCCACAAAGCTGCCAACATTTTGCCTCCAGAAGCTGGAGCACTTTAGTGCCCAATAGAAGTAATTGGAGGCAGCATGGACTCACCTGAGAATACCAATACTTGGGGGCAATCTTAGTAAATCAAGTTTTAAACACATCTCTTGGGCCCCATTCCACACAGCTGAATAAAATCCCGCATCTGCTTTGAACTGGAATATATGGCAGTGTGAACTCAGACAACCTAGTTCAAAGCAATACTGTGGGATTTTCTGCCTTGATATTCTGAGTTATATAGTTGTGTAGAATAACCCTTAGTTATATCTAAAATTATAATCAATTTATACTATGCCATAGGACTCAAATCAGATGCCTGAAAACCTGTCTGTTTTCATTTTCCTGAAAAAGGAGTTCTTTGCTTGTTTACCTGGAAATGACCTCATTGAACACCATAGGACGTTATTTCCACAAAGGTTTGCAGAAGAGATAGATTGTCGGGATATTTAAAGTAAAAGGTGCTACACTGGTTGGCTCATTCAAGGAAGTAAGCTACAATCCACAACCACTTTAGCGGAAGAAAACATATTAGTCTCCTGGGGGCCACTAGATCCTAGCATTAAAGTCACCAGAACAAAAGTCATGAAGTTACCATGACTGTTTCATATATGTAGTAAGTTTTATTGATTAGCCCATATCAAAAACATTTGACAAACACATACCATGACTGATAAAATTTGTTCTTGTGTGTATGGTTGCTGTGCATGAGAAAGAACAATGTTTAGTTAAGGGGAATATGGATTTTAAAACACATAAACACAGCTCTCTATATTATCTTGTTGTCACTGTTGTTATTTCTAGGGTGTCTGTACATCAGTGTGTTTCAGCAAAAACAACAAAAAATCTTGTGACACCTTAAAATACTTTAAATTACAGGGAGTCTCCAAGTTAGAAACATCTGACTTACAAACAACTCTTAATTCAGAACGGGGGTGGTGAGACAATAGAAAGGGAGAGAAATCTACTACTAGGAAGGGAAATTTACTCCTGAAATGGTCATCATGGGAGAAAGGTGTTTCAACTGAAACTTTAGCACCAATCCTTGTTTCCACAACAAGCCAATTTTTGCAGGTCTCATAGGGACAGAAAGTGAGGCGAAATCTTCTGAACAGGGGTACAGACAGCAAAACAAACACCACAGGGGTGTTAACCCTTTCCTATGCTATTCCATTGCTGGAATTACATTTTAAAAATGTTCCTGTTCAGACTCACAAACAAATTTAACTTAAGAACAAACCTCCTGTTCATAACTTGGGGACTGCCTGTATTGTGATAAAATATTTTATGAATTGGAATCGTCATCATCAGATATGATTTTTTGTGAGTTGTAGGTCTATATACACATAATAGAATCATAAATGGTGTTTTTAGAGGGAAATGAAATAGACAAAATACTAGCAATTACATTATTAAAAGTGACTACCTGTGATAAATTTTGTCCCTTCCTTTATTTCTTTTCCAAATCATTGTTGAACCAGATGCCAACTTACCCATCGCAAATGAGAAAGACACAATACCTGACCAGACCAAACTTGGAGCAATTGGCGAAGTGGAACTTGGGTCTCCTGGAATAAAGCAAAGTGAGAGCCTGGACAAAGAGGTGGCAGATATTTTGATTCCAGGACTGACAAACTGTGCCCTTTCCACTTGTCAAAGAGTGGATCCAGAGGGCACAGAGCCACAGCCGTTGGCACTAGAAGAAAAGCTCAGCATCAGTGGGCCTTTCCCTGCCAGTCTCTTAGAAGCTGGAGAGCCTCGGTCTGTGGACCTAGCAAAAGAAGAGGTCAGTGAGCCTCCAACTGTCCATGAAGCGGCCAACATTTTGTCTCCAGAAGCTGGAGAGCCTCGGTCTGTAGAACTAGCAGAAGAAGTGGTCAGTCAGCCTCCAACTGTCCATGAAGCTGCCAACATTTTGCCTCCAGAAGCTGGAGAGCCTCAGTCTGTGGAACTAGCAGAAGAAGACATCAATGAGCCTCCAACTGTCCACGAAGCTGCCAACATTTTGCCTCCAGAAGCTGGAGAGCCTCGGTCTGTGGAACTAGTGGAAGAGGAGGTCAGTGAGCTTCCAACTGTCCACGAAGCTGCCAACATTTTGCCTCCAGAAATTGTAGAGAACAATATGCTTAAACCTGTTGAGTCATCACAGGAGGACCCACCTGAGCCTGTGGCAGAGGAAATTGTCAATCTTGTGACAGAAATGGTGAAGGAACTAGAAGCGGGTGACGTGGAACTGCTAACTAAGGGTAATCATTCTGTGAATGCAGATTCAGACGGTCTGACCTATGTGTAAATTCCATTGAGATTTATGCATTTTTGATGAAAATAACCTAGGACAGAATCTCTTGCTCAATGGGTTGAGGACAGGATTGGAAAACGTCATGAAAGCATGTTTGTTTCAGATGTAAACATGAAGAACTGTTATGAACGTGATACCTACTACACTTGTTTTCCTTGCATTCTCACTTCAAGTATTTTTAGTTCCTCCTTTCTAATTCTCATTAACTTATACTAAATAAGGTTGTAAATAGATAGCAGGTGGCTATGGAGGAGTAGATACACAAAACCATTTCAAAATACCAAATTGGTTTAGTCAAAATCTCATGACATCTGTGTATTCTTAGTCTGAACTGTGTCGCTCTTTGGTTCAGTCTATTAGTGCAAGATAAGGGCTTCAGAATTTATTTGCTGCACTAGATCAGGATTTCATATACCTTGTCCAAATTCATCTTCAACAATGGCTAAAAAGATTTTTTTTTGTGAAGCTAATTAAAAAGAGAAAATGTTAGAAACTTGACCATTCTTTGGTTCTAACATGTGGCAATGGAAGCATGTTGCTTTTGGTCATGAAACTTTAGGAACTCTTGCTTTCGAGCAGTGGTTCCCAACCTTTGGACTTCCAGGTGTTTTGGACCTCAGCTCCCACAGTTCATAACAGCTGGTAAGCTGGCTGGGACTTCTGGGAGTTGAGGTCCAAAACACCTGGAGGCCCAAAGGTTGAGAATCAGTTTTTGAGGTAGAGGGCTCAATGCTCTGCTACTAATTTTGCCTATTTGCAGGCACTTGCAAAAAGAGTGTTAAATAATGAAACACCCTTAAATATGATGGTATTTACAATGTGTTCTTAGAAGTTCTTAGAGATTTGTCTGTTCAGTGTAGCTTGCTTTGAAATAAGTGTGCCTACGACATATTGCAGGCAACCTTTATTTTTTTTAGAGGCCTTGGTGACAATGGCCGTTTTCATATTTCTTAGTGTTTGATCATTTTAGTTCACTTCTGATTGATAATACTTGAGGTGCTACATTGGAGCTATCTTTGCTACATAAGAGTCTGGGTGGCCCAATTTTTTTCCAGATCATTTCAAGGGGAGCTCAAATAGGGGATAGGGAATATCCACACCACACCACATCCTGAGGTCCCTGGAGACGTTCCATTTAGGCACAATAGCTATTGTCCTTGAGAATATCTCTTACTGCACCCGTTTCATGCCATTTATGTGGCAGGAGATCTGCAAAATGTACTTTGTAGCAAGCAAGGTTGTTTAAATTGGACAACATCCAAACTGATTAATGCTTGGGTGAATAGGAATTCTGTTTACATAGACCCACATGTCTGACGCAACAACTACAGATAGACAAAATTCATAGAATGGGCTTCTGAAATGCAATTATTAACTTGAAAGTTCCTTTTTAAAACGTATGTATTATTAGCCCTGGTGGTGCAGTGGGTTAAACTGCAGAGCTGCTGAACTTGCTGACCGAGACGTTGCTGGTTCGAATCCAGGGAGTGGGGTGAGCTCCCGCTGTTAGCCTCAACTTCTGCCAAACTAGCAGTTCGAAAACATGTAAATATGAGTAGATCAATAGGTACCACTCCAGTGGGAAGGTAACAGTGCTCCATGCAGCCCTGCCGGCCACATGACCTAGAAGGCATCTACGGTCAACGCTGGCTCTTCGGCTTAGAAATGGAGATGAGCACCACCATCTAGAGTCAGGACACGACTAGACTTAAGGTCAAGGAGAAACCTTTACCTTTTATTATTAGCAGACTAAATTGAAAGTCAAAGATCGCAGAGGATAGCAACAGGGGCGCTTAAGATGTGATGTATCAGCTCTCTTGTGCTTCACTTGTCTCTTTTTAGTGTCATAAAGGAAAACATAAGGCAGACCAAACAGTAGTCCGTAAAGTGTTGGTGCATGCAATACTCTTTCAATGTTCCCTGCCTTGATCTCTATGGTTACTGTTCCAGGTGAGGCAGGAGAAAAGATGGAAACTGAGAAGCACTGTGAGATAGTAAGCGAATGCGCTGAAACAAAAGAAGAAGAAATGGGAGAAGCTACAGCCTCAGCAGCAACAGAGATAGGTATGTTGATGGAGAAGTGAAGTACTAATATAGGAGGAGCTCAAAAAATTGCACTAGTGTTCATTTGCAAGTCCTGGATGGTTCCTGCCTTAGGAGATGTTTAAACAACATTATGTAGATAATCTCCTATTCATCTGTGCACTTGTTTAGATTGTTTGTATAAAGGTTTAATTTTACTTGACACACACATGTGTCAGGATATGTCCTAACCTCATATAAACAATGCAGAGCTTGGGAACATTATTGTTTCGGACTACAGCTTCCAAATCCCCAGCCCAAGGACCATATTGGTACAGGAATTATGGGAATTGTTATCAAAAAATAATTTTCTGAAAATATGTGCCTCTTTTAAAAATCAAACTAAGTACACGAATGCAGAACTTCTCATAGCTTGCCAAAAACAACTATATTATTAGAGTTTCGTTTATCCAACCTTTGCTTATCTGACATTCTGTCTTACGCGACACTCTTATCCAACACTCCCTTTTCCTCCACCATTTGCCCTTCAATCAAAAGAGTGCTCCCCAGATCTCTCTCCATTCCCAATAAGTGAAAAAGGCAGGAAAGGAGGAGGAAGAGGATGGAGGAAAGGGGAAAAAGAGGCGGAAGCATCCTCCCCCTCTTCTTTCTGTGATTTCCACGCTCCTCTTCCGCATCCAGGCACTTCCTGCTGGGCTGCTCTAGCCTTGAGGTGTTGTCTTGCCTTAGCCCTTTGAGTCCCTGTTGTTAGTATTCAAGTGTCTAGCGCCGCGTCGTACAGGTAACAGTAGGAGACATTTTCGTTTATCCGACATTCTGCCAGCCCATTTATGTCGGATAAGCGAGACTCTGCTGTAAGTTGCAATGATGTGAATGTGGACATGCTGAAGTATGCATGTTCACTTCACCACCGTTTAATAATAACGGACATGATCATCTGTATTTTGCTGTATTTGTGTGAATTTCCAGAACCAAATCCATGTGGATAGGGACAAATGCCACAAAAGCAAAGTGAAGGCTGTGTGGGTACTCTGTGCCTCTTTCCCCTACTTGGTATTAAACTAGACCCTCCATGTTCAGGGTGAACGTGATGTCTCTAGTACCAGCCTAAGTCCTGAAATAGATCATCCAACTAAAAGGTTTCAGGACACATATTTGAAAAATGAGGCTTAAATAACCCCTTTTATTCCCTGGTTACTATTTGCCAAACATGATTTATTAATGATCAGATTACCGGCATGGCTCAGGGATTTACCCATTCTCAGTCTGCTCCTTTTGTTCGTTGGCAGTGGGAACAGGGATGGGTCAGTTTCAGGAGCTAACTTCCATGGCTGTGTGTGAAGGACAAACAAAGCAAGGCACAAGTTGATTAGAGACAGAGAAGAACAGATGAAAAGGAGAGCAAAGGCGTTCATCACTCAAGCAGACTCTGAAATTACAGCTCTTCAATTTACCTCCGTCATACCTGAGAGTAGAGATTTCCTTTCTGTGAAACTGAAGCTCTCATATTCATCATGGTGGAAACTGGGATTAAAACACACAGAGAGAGCTGACAATAAAAGCATAACAGGAAGGCCCAACCTTTTGGGATGTGCAGGGGCATTACTGGGGGCAGAACCACAAAAATAGTTTATGTGGGATGGGATGGCCAGTCATAAAATGTTAGGGGTGCAATTTCTTTCCCCTCTTCACTCCACCCTTCTCCGTCTATCTCCGAAAACAGAAAGGCTAAAGGGAATTGAGATGAAAGCAAAATGAAGGGGGAAAAGAGGAACACCAAGGAGGAAAGAATAAGATTTGTTAGGAGAGTATTGGTAAATAGATTCAGGAAGACACACAGATTTTGACCATGGCCATATAGCCCGAGAAACCTACAACAACCCAGTGATTCCAGCCATGAAAGCCTTCGACAATAAATTTTGGAATATTTTGGATTTTTAGATAAGAAATGCTCGGTGTCTCTATATAGAATCATTGAGTTGAAAGAGACCACAAAGGCCATCTAGTCCAACCCCTCTTTGTAGTAGTAGTAGTAGTAGTAGTAGTAGTAGTAAATAATTTTATTTCTTACTCAAGGCAGGTTACAACATGGGGTACAATGTGTAGTACTACAATGATGTAGTATAACATCATTAAGTGTATTAAGTTTCTCCAATATTTATTTATTTATTCATTCATTCATTCATTTATTTACAACATTCATATTCCACTTTTCTCATCCCAAAGTGGACTCAGGGAGGCTTACATAATTTGCATTATTCCTTGCCCAAAAAACAACAACATGGCTTTAATGTTTAATTGAAAGCAATTAAACATTAAAACAACAATGATTATTATGCATAGATCTAAAGCCAGAAATCAAATAATCATATTCATCAATCCAAGGTCAATTCCAACTGTATTGCACAGATAATTATGCTGGGTCAAATGCTTGCTCCCAAAGCCAAGTTTTCACGTGTTTGCGAAATGACAGGAGGGAAGGGACTGATTAGCTTTCGCTAGGGAGGGAGTTCCACAGCCATGGGGCCATCACTGAGAAGGCCCTGTCTCTCATCCCCATCAGTCACACCTGTGAAAGTGGTGGGACCAAGAGCAGGTAAGTTGGGCTGGGGCCATTCAGAGCTTTATATGCCAAAGCCAGCACTTTGAATTGTGCTCGGTAGCAAATCAGCAGCCACTATTTCCAGTAGATCCCTTATTGCAAATAATTTATTTAAAGTTGCGACGTTGGTGTTATTGTTATTGTATACATACCAGAACAATAAATTATTTGTGATTTGTCTACAAACAGTACAAATATTCGTGTAAATATCTTTGCCACATTTAACATTTTGTTTTTTTGTTGTTTTTTTTACAGAAGTTACTAATGAAGAGTGACTTGTGGCATTTGAACGGACTTAATCTGTGGTTGCACAAATAATAATAATGCTCCAATTTGAGAAAACCTGTTTTTATAACAGTTTATATAGACTTACCACAATAATCGAGCACAGTGAGAACATTATAAGGATTTTATTTGAGAAAGTCAAGTTGCCAAGACATTGCTGAGGAACTGCAATATGAAACCTTCATGTTTGCCATAGAGTGCCTTCTGCAGACACACAAATGAAATCACATTTCACAAAACAACTTTGCCTTTCAGTAGGAAAATTAATGAACATGAAGGGAAGTCTAGGGTGAATTATCAGCAATATGAAGCGTAAAAGCTGGTGCGGGTAACATTAAACAGCACCAAGAAACTGTGCGTCATCTAAAGAGGGATAAGGAACATCAAGTACTAACAGAAACCTTGCAGTCATGAGTTATTTAACTGCACAAATAAAATTACTCCATGAATCTTCACTTTTGTATACTCTTAGCAGGATTAGAGATTTTATGTTGTTTTAGTACAATCTAGAGATAAATCAATACCTTCACATTCTCCAAAGTAACAAAATAGTCATTGCAATCTTCAAAATACTTGAAGGAAGAGAACTAGTATGAATGATGGTATTCTACACACTTTCATAATTATTGGCTGGCAGACAAGGAAATTGCCCTTCATTGTCATTGGAATGTGATGGCAACTTTTTAAAAATACTATTTACAAACCTGTCATTCAGAGTTTAAGCAATCAAAACCCTCCTGTTAGTCTGTGTTATCTGAGTATTTTCCTTCAGAGGTAGTTATTGGCATGGATGTGAAATATGTATGTATTCCTTGAAAATGATACCAACTCAAGAGTATTTATTCAATGTATTTTAATAACAGAAAAATGAAGCCTTAAATACGACTTTAAAAATAGGATTTATTGAAGTGCAGATGTGAGTTGGAACAGAGATGAATTTCACATTCAAACAGAAAGAGTGGCAGCTATTTAGTATATGAATACAGAACTCTAAACGAGTGAGCTTCAGCAGAACTGATTTCCACCCAGCTTGTGTCTGAATCAGGAAATCTTTGCACTGTAGGCAACACAGTTGGTTCTTAATCCTCTTTAAAGTGAGATGTCGCTTCATCCTTTATGACAAAGAGTATAAATTTAATTTAATATATTAATATATTTAATTCATACCCTGCCCTTTCCTCCAAAAAGCAGATAAATACCTCACATACATTTTAGTTCCTGTGAAAATAGACCCACAAACTCAATAGGAATTTGCTAAGTTGAGAATTGTGTAAACATTGAATCAATTAATCTATTTGAATTGGGACCAACAATTGGATTTAGACTTTGGGCCTTCTTCAGATATGGCTGTCAGTCACTCTCTGTCACCCTATATGTTTGTCTTTGAGGTAGGTAGAAATGTATGTGGTGGGAAGAGGGATCTCTACATGCAAACCTTTATAATTTCCTCTGATTACTCTCATTTTGGAATTTAAGGTTCTGTGTTCCAGCTTTTTGAATTGTTTTTTTAAGGTGCAGGCTATTTCTCTCGTCTTTGTCATCTGCTTATTTGATATGCCATTCCAATACATCAGGGTGGAAAACTCTACCATCACAACCCCCCCCCCCCAACATGCATACCAAAGAGATTAGGAAATGCATGCATCAAAATGCCCGCAAACACCTTCTGAAAGCATAGAGGACATTTCGCCATGTATTAGGCCCAGGAAGGGGCATTTTTGCAGCATTTCTTGTTATAAAAATGATCTCTTCCAAACCCAAAATGGTATAGTATGTCCACAGAGGGTTCCCAATTATTATTTTAAATAAATAATTGCTGAAAAAAGAAGATTGGTCTGGCATGGTATTCATTCCTGACAAAACCATGTAAATTCCTAATAGTCAACACATTGTTTTCTAACAGCACTTTGTGAACAGTTTACAAATTTTCCATTGGTTTGATGTCAGAACGACTAGTCTTTAGTTTCATGTGGCCGTTTCCATCCTCCAAAATTGAAGAACAATGTTTGAAGGTATGCCAGCCATTAATCTCATCAAGTTACAGTGGCACCTATTAGGCCAGGGGTGTCCAACATTTTGGCTTTCCTGGGCTGCGGTGGAAGAAGAAAGGGGGTCTTGGGCCACACAAAAAATATGCTAAATCTAACAATAGCTGATGAGAAAAAGAAAGGTCTGTGTATAATGTTTGTGATATTTGCCACCACAGATAAGCAAGAAGACTTTGCATAATCCTAATTATGCGCCACTACTTTCAGAGATTTTTAAAACCATCACGCAGGTCACAAGTTTGCAATCATCTATATAGAAAAATGTACATATCTAAGTAATAACACTTGAATACTTTTATTATAAAAGTAAAAAGAAGGCAACACAAAACTAGTGGGATTTTTTTGAGAAACTAATACATCAATATTGGATTTAATAGACGTAGTTGCAATTATCAGTGAGTTCTCAATGTCCTCATTGGATATTTTGGTTCTAATGTTACTCTATTTCATCCATAAAATAATTGTTTACAAATAGAGGTGTTGCCAAAAAAAAAGAATGACGTAAATAAGGCACAATAATAAAGCATGGGACATCTAGGAAGACAGGTCATATAAAAGTCCAGTAAAGAGACAAAGTTCACACTCGCGTTACACAACTGAGTTACAAAAACCATTGTAAAAAACAATGTTTTAAGTGTATTGGGCCACTCATAGCCACCAAGTTTAACAAGCAGCTACCCTAAAGGCTTTCAGTATAGTGGAATAAAATGCTTTTAAAATGGTAAAACGAAATTGCCACATGATTATCATACATCGATAAAGGTAAAGGTTTCTCCTGACATCAAGTCTATTCGTGTCCAACTCTGGGGGATAGTGTTCATCTCAATTTCTAAGCCGAAGAGAGGGTGTTGTCAGTAGACGCCATGTGGCCAGCATGACTGCATTACCTTCCTGCAGAAGCAGTACCTATTGATTTGTATATTTTTGAACTGTTGGCGGAAGCTGGGCCTAACAGCGGAAGCTCTCTCTGCTCCCCAGATTCGAACCGCTGACCTTTTGGTCAGCAAGTTCAGCAGCTTAGTGGTTTAACCCACTGCGCGCATCACCCTACTGGGATAACTACTGACAGGTTACACCTTGGAAAGATGCTCTTGTTTAACAGGAGTGGGCAAAGTGTAGTTTTCCAGATGTGAATGAACTGTGATTCCCAGCAGGTGAGAAATGAAAATGGAATTGCAATCTACCTCTTGTGGATGCACTTTGACATTCCATGCTTTATAAAACTAATTTCAGCCATTTTAAAAGGGGTGGGGGAAGTATTACTAATAAACATTCTGATGGAGATGTACAAACTAGATCTCCAGGGTGTAAAATTGCTTCCCTCTATCAGCTTCTGCCAACTTGGCAGTTCGAAAACATGCAAATTTGAGTAGATAAATAGGTACTGCTTCTCTGGGAGGGTAATGGCACTCCATGCAGTCATGCTGGCAACATGACTTTGGAGGTGTCTATGGACAACAACGGCTCTTTGGCTTAGAAATTGAGATTAGCACTACCCCTCAGAGTCAGACTAGATTTTAATGTCAAGGGGAAACTTTTACCTTTTTATCATCTGGGACTTCCATTATGCTTAGGCCTACCTCAAATGCCCAAACATATTTTTTTTACTGAAGCAAAGAGACACACATATGAAACTTGGTGGAATTAGTTTATTCCTTAACATTCCTGCAAAATATATCTGGTGGGTGGTGTCATTTGAAAACATGGCATGGAAAATATATTACAAACATTTTTGTTATAAAGTTAGTAGCATCTTTGAACAGTAGCTTATCTACAGTTGTAATTTTAGTTAAGGTCATTGTAAAGTTCAGTTATGTTTCTAATATGAACTGATCAAACATTTGTGTTATTATAATTTGACTGTAATGTTTTTCTTATTATAAGGGTACAGTTCTAATTAGTGTAATGTAAACTCAGAACACATTCTGGCTCTTAATGAGTACGCAACCAACTTGTTCATTGCTTCTTTATTAACTCTCAGTAGCATTTGCTGCCTTCTTTAGGAATGCAAAGCCTTGCATTAGCTTACAGCTTCAATTATACTATGCAAATACTAACATCAGGCAGGCTCCTAGTCTTGAAAATGATGACTTTCAAGAAGATGTTAGTGGGCAGAACTGAGCCCTACAAGAACTTAGTCTAAATGGGGGTAGGGAGATGGGTACAGAGGCACTATCTTATAGTCATGCTGAGGCATCTTGGAGTGGTCCCTTGACGGCAATAGCTTCAATCTCAACACGTGCACCCTGGGGGGGAAAGTCAAATTAGACACTCAGTGCAGAATAGTCAAAGAACATTTCCATTCACATAAGTCAGTGAACCCAATTTTTGCCAATGCACGTGCCAAGTTCAAACGGATAATAGGAGTTAATGAGGAATAACAACCTTTCCCTCATTTTGAGCGCTAAGGGAAGGGCCACCACGGGATACAACCGAGGCTTTCTGTTCCTAAAAGTACACAATGCTGACATGTACATTCAAACGTTTCATTTCCAAAATCAGATAAGATTAGTGTGTTCATTATGGGGTTTTTTTTTAACTGTGTCAGAAACGAATTGAAAATATACTGCAAGTCTCTTCTGGTGTGAGAGAACTGGCCCTCTGCAAGGACCTTGCCCAGGGAATGCCTGAATGTGTTACCATCCTGTGGGAGGCTTTTCCCATGTCCCCGAAGCTGGGGCTGACCCATGGAAGCTCGCCCATCTCACGGATTTGAACCGCCAACCTTCAGGCTTTCATGTCAGCAGTTCAGCCGGCACAAGGGTTTAGCCCATTGTGCCAGCTCAGCTCTGTTCATTGCGGCAGCATCTAATGATATCTTCTAACATACAGAAGCTAAGACCAGTTTACAGTGTCATAAGCCCATCAACCAGTCACCTTGGAGGAAGCCCATTTGATCTCTAAGGGGCTTGTTTCCAAGTACAGACAGTCCCCAAGTCACAAAGAGACTTTGTTCTTAAGTTGAATTGTATGAAAGTTGGAACAGTTACATTTTTAGAGTGTAACGCCACGAAAGAGTTAACACCCTTATAGTGTTTGTTTTGCTGTCTGTCCCTGTTCAGAAGACTTTACCTTACTTTCTGTCCTTGTGATAATTGGATTTTTAACATTTTGGCTTGTTGTGAAAACAAGGAATGGTGATAAAGCTTCACTAATGGTAAGTCTTTTGAGATGGAATTTCCCTTCCATTTCAGTAGGCAAAGGCTTTTAAACAATATGCACTAACAAAGCCTAGAAGCAGTTTTTCTCTTTGCAAGAAATAAGACAATCAGTTTTTGCAGAAATAAAACAACACTTACTTTTGGAAGGGCAGCAACTTGGTAAGCTGCTCTTGCTGGAAAATTGCACTTGAAAACTATGTATAGAAGACACATTATGTCCATAAATGTATTGATTACAGTAAGAAAGGCATTTTCATTTACCTTGACTATGCCTAACAGCAGTAATAATAATAAGAAGGAGGAGGAGGACTCATCTTGTTGTGTTTCAAATAATAATAATAATAATAATAATAATAATAATAATAATAATAGCAACAACAACAACTATATTTTTGTATCCTGCCAACATCTCCCCAAAGGGACTTGGGGCAGCTTACATGGGGACCAAGCCCAGTCAGGCAAAGTTCAAATATAACACAATAAAAATGCATATTGAGTAATTCAGAATAAGCCAAATAGCTATACTGAAACACTAGGTATTATGATATTGCGCTATACAAGTACTGAAATCAGCAATCTGAAATTCATTTTTAAATGAAGTGTTTAAGCCTCACATGTGGTCTGTGCCAACTAATGCCTTAAAAATTTGTATATACTACTGCTCTCAGCCTCAACAAATGTTTGCACTAGAAATTAAAAACGAAACAGAAGAGGCATGTACTTTTTGTAGTCACACAAACACAATAACAAACTCAGAATTGCAGCTTATTTTTAGATGAGGAGGGAGAATCTCCCGAGCACAGATTATAATAGGGGTGGGCTAGTTAAATCTGCGGAGGGACCAGATCTTCACTTGCAGAACCTGCTATAAATCACAATGGCTGCCAGAGTGCAAACTGGAGATTGCTTCAATACCTAAGAGGACAGTAATTTCAAGAGGTGTTGCTTATTATCTGTGTGACAATGAAAATTCGCTGAAATTTTCTTTTTCACATAACCATTGAAGACACAGGAGTATTCTCCAGATGCCCATACTACTTCATTTTGACTTGCAGATTTGTAAAGTAAAAAGTACCAGGAAGACAATGTTTCAATTTAAAAAATCGGGTTCATCAGGAACGTAAAAATGGATTGGGGGGTGCAAATAGCATGCTGCCCAAACTTGGTCTACTTCTAGATTTTATCCCAGAAGTTTAGAAACTAAGAAAGAATTAAAAAACAGTTTGCCACCAAGAAGATGAGCTTCATGGTTAGAAGGGGGGGGGGGAGGCAAAACACGAGCATTAACATCAAAACATCCCAGCCCCAGATTGCTGTGAGTTTTCCGGGCTGTATAGCATTTAATGGTCTTGCAGCTTCAAAGCCTGGCTGATTGCTGCCTGGGGAATCGTTTATTAGGAGGTGTTAGCTAGCCTGATTGATTCTTTTTTTTTTTACAAGTCCCTTCACTTTTATTAACTAAAATATCAAGTCACATTGGTTAACAGGAAGTAGGGCTGGCAAAGCCAGTTTGTATTCCCTGGCATGACTGTGCCCTTGCGTTTAGCAAGCTCCAGCATCAGCTAATTCGGTTTAAAAATGAAATTCCTTCATTGGAAAAGGACAATAGAAAAGACCAGTACAAAAAGCCAAAAGGAAGATTTAGGCAACTACAATGAATTGGAGAAGTTTGGAAAGAGAAAACAATGTAACTGTATATTCAGTTCCACAAGTGATATCCCTGCCCATACCAACAGTGTCTCGTTCTCTCCCTCCCTCTCACATCCCCCCCCCCCCAAGATCAAAGCAAATGGGTACAATAGGACTTCACTGCAGCGCTGCTGACCAGAGTCTTTGAGAGGTTGGTGGGGCTGCTTAAGATATTCTGAAACAAAAATCACAAGTTATAAAACTTCTTTCACTCTAGTGAACACCTTTTTCAAGACAAATACAAATCCTCTTGAGTTTTCTAGAAAAGCTAAAGTGTTCCAGGTGACATTGGGACAAGACATTTCTAATTGTCTGCTTCTCTGAACTGCTTTGCACATGCCCTGATTGATTCTTGTTTGGAATTCCCCTGCTTTTTGAGTGTTACTCTTTATTTACTGATCTGATTTTAAGAGTTTTTTAAATAGCCATATTTTGTTCAATTTCATGGTTTTCTTCTTTCTGTTGGTACAAATTTGTGGATTTCAATGGCTTCTCTGTGTAGTCTGACATGGTAGTTGTTAAGAGTTAAATGCTAATCAAGATGGCCAACTGCAACATTTACATCTGCCTTAAGCAGACAAGGGTTTTTTCTTCCACCTTGGGGCATACCACAGATATATAAACCTCACAACCTCTGAGGATAGCTGCCATAGTTATGGGCAAAACGTCAGGAGGGAATGCTTCTGGAACATGGCTATACAGCCCGGAAAACTCACAGCAACCCAGTGATTCTGGCCATGAAAGCCTTCGACAACGCATAACATCTCCATTTTTTAATGGCAATGATTATCTTCCTGTTTTAGCTCTGTCTTATTTGCTGAAGCTTGCTTGGTGAACAGTAGTATGCAAATGTTATGCATCATTGTCAGTACTTACACTGCTTGTAGATTTCATTAATATCATTAAAGTCCTTCATGTCAGCCATCAGCACAGTCGTCTTGACCACTAGAATTAGAAACACTCGTTATGAACTAGTTCCAATTCAAGCTGAAAGCATAATTGAAGGTGCACTGCTATCAATGCACAGCTACTTGGAGAAAGTCTGACTAAACTTGGAAAGATTTAATTCAGAGCGAAACGATAGAAAACCGTGCTGCAAATGATTTGACTCTAGGTTTTATTTCTTGATTGCAGGAAGGCTTAATGCTTTGATTCAGTATTGACATCCACCAAATGGGGACTCGGAAATATGCTTGTGTCAAAAAGTGAAACAAGACCTGAAATATTTGGAAATTTATTAAAAACCAAAAGATTTCGGAATAGTCTTGGTTCCAGTACTACTGTCTGCAGCACCTCCCTTTCAGGTATTCTTCCCTACAGGATATGAATATTCTTTCTTTATTCTCTTCAAATGCAAAATAACTCAAGTTAATCCGTTTAGTTAAAATTTACTCACCATTGCCATAGTCGCAGTCAGCAGCTTTCAGAATTTCACCGACATTTTGAAGGGCCTTATAACAAAACAAAAAAGTTAGCTCCCAATGTTTTAGCTATTCATAACCTAGGAAGGACTCAAAAACTGTATATACCCACACAGAGGGTACCATGTTATATGAAAAAGAAATGTTTACAAAAGCCATCTATAGCTAAAGAAAGAAAATTTAGGAAAATGTTAAAAACTAGTAAGCTCCAATCCCAGAGAAAGAAGCTAAGTTCCAATAACTTCAAGAAGTTAAATATAATGAACCTTCTCTTGACTAGGGCTTCCAGAAAAAGCCTAGGAATAAAAGGAAACTAACAGCAGATGATTTTGCCCATCACTTTGTTGTGCTCCTCCAACTCACCACTACAACAGCTGGAAATATACCATATATACTCGAGTATAAGCCAAGTTTTTCAGCCCTTTTTTAAGGCTGAAAAAGCCTCCCTCGGCTTACACTCGAGTCAATGTTAATTATTATTTTACTCTGTTATTATTATTATTTTATTACATTTATTATTTTACTCTATTATTATTACATTTACATTATTTTACCATTATTATTTTATTACATTTATTATATTATTTTATTATTATTACATTTATTATTTTACTCTATTATTATTATTACATGTACATTATTTTACTTGATTATTATTTTTATTGAATTTATTATTTTACTCTATTATTATTGGAAGGATACGTAAGCACATTTACATTGAAGGTTAGAATAATGGTTTAATCAAAGTTGGACAGTCTTATCTTAAATTACAGTTGTGTATAAATATTCAAAAACATTTAACCTACTGATGACTCAGTTAATGTAATTTTATTGGCATCTGTTTTTATTCTGAAATTTACCAGTAGCTGCTGCATTTCCCACCCTTGGCTTACACTTGAGTTGATATGTTTTCTCAGTTTTTGTGGTAAAATTAGGTGCCTCGGCTTATATTCGGGTCGACTTATATTCGAGTATATAAATTCCAGTGAAAAGATTAGGTACTCTTTCTCTCAGGACCTCACTTTGAAGGGCAGTACTTTCCCATGGCACCTAGAGATCTACCTAAGGCAGACAGATTCCTTCTGAATGTTGAAATGATAGGTGGAATTGTTAATTTCTAGTCTTGTGGACATGCCCATAATAAATAATTCATGCTACTGGATGATGACAGTGAGATCATCTGTTACCTGTTTAGTTTGTTCCTTTGCTCCTCCGGCTACAAGTTCCCCACTTGCAGGATCCATGCCTAGCTGCCCTGCGATGTACATGGTCCGGTCAACCAACACAGCTTGACTAAGTTTTCAAAAAAGGAGGTGGGAAAAGAGAGAGAGTATCAACTTATTTTCTCATTTTTAGCACTTATTAAAAAGAGATACAGTACACTGGACCATCATCTTCTGGGGCCTGGTTCTTGTACCCCCTGTGGATACCAAAATCTGTAGATGCTCAAGTCCCATTATGTACAATGACATAGTAAAATGTCATCCTTTATATAAAATGGTAAAATCAGGGTGTTTTGTTTTTTTAAAGAAGGGGGTGTTTTCAAGAAATGTATGGTTGAATCCATAGATGTATAAATCATAACAAAATCCCTTCTGGATCAAACCAAAGATCTATCTGGTCCAGCATTCTTTTCTCACGGCAGTCATCCAGATATCTATAGGAAACCCACAAACAAGATAAGAACACAACAGCAAGTTCTAGCATTCTCTTCCAACTGTTATTCAAAACCATAGTTCTGCTGAAAGGGGCATTTTGAGTGAGAAAAGTAGTCTTAAGGATTGTGTAAAGAATCGTAGAATTATAGAGTTGGATGAGACCTTGTGGGCCATCCAGTCCAACCCCCTGCCAAGAAGCAGGAAAACTGCATTCAAAGCATCCCCGTAAGATGGCCAGATGGTCATCTGTTTAAAAGCCTCCAAAGAAGTAGCCTGCACCACACTCCGGGGTAGAGAGTTCCACTGCTCAACAGCTCTCACAGTTAGGAAGTTCAAGTAGAATCTCCTTTCTTGTAGTTTGAAGCCATTGTTCCACGTCCTAGTCTCCAGGGCAGCAGAAAACACACCTGCTCCCTCCTCCCTATGACTTCCTCTCACATATTTATGCATGGCCCTCATCATGTCTCCTCTCAGCCTTCTCTTCTGCAGGCTAAACATGCCCAGCTCTTGAAGCCACTCCTCATAGGGCTTGTTCTCCAGACCCTTGATCATTTTAGTCGCCCTCCTCTGGACACATTCCAGGTTCTCAAAATCTCTCTTCAACTGTGGCGCCCAGAATTGGACACAGAATTTCAGGTGTGGTCTGATCAAGGTAGAATAGAGGGGTAGCATGACTTCCCTGGATCTAGACACTATACTCTTCTTTATGCAGGCCAAAATCCCATTGGCTTTTTTTTTTTGCCACCGCAGAACCTTCTTGCTGGTTCCCCATTCAAGGACATGGACTCATTTATGCTAAATCATTAAAACTGAGTTAAATGTGATACTTGGGATCAAGTGAAACTCTTGACATTTAAAGGATTTAGATAGATTAAATGGTTTTAATGAGCCAGGCTACATGCAGCAAACTGAAAGTGTTTGCCCACAAACTAAAGAAGACATTACGTTTAATCATAAAAGTCAGAGCTGTTAGTTAACACCTACAGCATGCAAAATCACAACTTTATGCCAGCCTTGATATCTACCGCACTCTGTGGGGCATGTAGTCATCCTACCCAGGGCAGCTTTTATGCACTCAGCTGACACACTGCTGAGTTCTCTTTTCGTCTCTGGAACAAAAACATCTTTCATTGACTGGAGCCTCCAAGAACTCTGATCTACTGCACTAAAAGCAAGTCTAATTCCTCTGACCATTTGAAGAATAATCTGGATGAGTTCAGAGGACAGACTATCATCATCATCATCATCATCATCATCATCCCAAAATTAAGACTCAAGGTGCCATATAATTTAACAATAACAATGGGACTACAAATATATAAAACGTAAACATTAAAATAGAATTAAATCACATTATTAAACAGTTCAGAACACAGTTCAGAACTGTTAAAAAGAATATTATACTTAAAGAAAAATATTTAAAACTTTTTTAGTTTAATGCTACAACAATACAGAATCCTACTGTGTGAAACACATCTGCATCAAAATCCTATTGAAATGAAAAGGTTCCTGCCTACAAATGGAAAAACAACAAGGAGGTGGGCATTCTGGCTTTTTTCAGAAGAGAGTTCCATAGTCTCTAGGACAGTGGTTCTCAACTTTCCTAATGCTGTGACCCCTTAATACAGTCCCTCATGTTGTGGTGACCCCTAACCATAAAATTATTTTTGTTGGTACTTCATAACTGCAATTTTGCTACTGTTATGAATAACAACGTAAATATCTGATATGTATTTTCATTCACTGGACCAAATTTGGCACAAACACCCAATACGTCCAAATTTGAATACTGGTGGTGTTGGGGATGGATTGATTTTGTCTTGGGAGTTGCAGTTCCTGGGATTTATAGTTAACCTATAATCAAAGAATAAAGAAGGGGAGCCAGGAGGACATTGCCATCTTGTCCCCTGTGACATCAGCGCCCCTCCCCCAACACCAACGGCCACTCTGGGGCCAGAATAAAGAAGGGGAGCCAGGAGGACATTGCCATCTTGTCCCCTGTGACATCAGCGCCCCTCCCCCAACACCAACGGCCACTCTGGGGCCAGAATTGTTTTTATACTATGTCTTGAATTTTGTTGTTCCTATGTTGTACACCGCTGTGAGTCGCCCCTGGGCTGAGAACAGCGGTATATAAGCAAAGTAAATAAATAAATAAATTTGGGACGGGCAACCAACGAGGAAACAAAACTCAAAAACCCCCCAACGAAACTTAACCAAAATTCCCATGCCCATAACACAACCCACAAGGTACAAACATATCTACTCAAAATGAAAAACAACACAACAACACACTCACAAAACGGCAAAACAACAAAACTCAAAAATCCCCAACGAAACTTAACCAAAATTCCCATGCCCATAACACAACCCACAAGGTACAAACATATCTACTCAAAATGAAAAACAACACAACAACACCACTCACAAAACAGCAAAACAACAAAACTCAAAAATCCCCCAACGAAACTTAACCAAAATTCCCATGCCCATAACACAACCCACAAGGTACAAACATATCTACTCAAAATGAAAAACAACACAACAACACACTCACAAAACGGCAAAACAACTGAGCATGCGCATTGGCGCCCAGCCGCAAGTTCCCTGGCGCGCGCACATGGCCTTCCGGCCAACGTTCCCTCTGCGGAAACCATGCCCACTCCAAGCCCCGCCGCGCCGCTTCCCGCACACACACACCCCCTGCCGCACACACACACGCAACCCCACACTCCATCACTCCCCCCGCTGCCGCACGCACACACGCAACCCCACTTCCCCCGCCGCCGCACACACACACGCAACCCCACGCTCCATCACTCCCCCCGCCGCCGCACGCACACACGCAACCCCACTCCCCCCGCCGCACACACACACGCAACCCCACAAGGAAGGAGGGAAAGAAGGAGAGAAAGAGGGAAGATTGGCCACAGCAACACGTGGCGGGTAAAGGTTGTTATTTCTATTATTATTATTATTATGCTATTGTTCCTATGAGACCCTGGGGGAATGGGAGAGGTGTCAGGTCCCAGAGGCAATGCATTGCATTATTGTTATTGTTATGATGGTGGTAAAATAAAAGGAAATAAAAAGTGAAAGAAGGAAGCAAACAGGGAGGGAAGAAAGGCAAAGGAAGAAAGGGGGAGGGAATGAAGGAAAGAGAGAAGGATGAAACCAAGTAGTGAAAGAAGGAAAGAAAGAAAGAGGTAGAGAAGGAAGAAAGGAGAGAAAGGGGGAGGAAAAGGGGGAAGGAATAGGTAGGTACCTCTCTTTCATAATAGTCCAGATATCTACCTCAACTTTGATAAGTTTTACTATAGGCCACAGCAACGCGTGGCAGGGCACAGCTAGTAAATAATAAATAAAGAGCATTCTGAACTCCACAAACAATGGAATTGAACCAAACTTGGCACACAGAACTCCCATGACCAACAGAAAATACTGGAAGGGTTTGGTGGGCACTGACCTTGAATTTTGGAGTTGTAGTTCACCTACATCCAGAGAGCACTGTGGACTCAAACAATGATGGATCTGGACCAAACTTGGCATGAATACTCAATCTGCCCAAATGTGAACATTGGTGGAGTTTGGGGGAAATAGACCTTGACATTTGGGAGTTGTAGTTTTGGGACTTATAGTTCACTTACAATCAAAGAGCATTCTGAACCCCACCAATGATTAGAATTGGGTCAAACTTCCCACACAGAACCCCCATGACCAACAGAAAATATTGTGTTTTCTGATGATCTTTGGTGATCCCTCTGACACCCCCTTGCAACCCCCGGTTGAGAAATGCTGCTCTAGAAGAAGCTGTTGAGAAAGCTTTCACATCAATGCTAACAACTTTGACAGTGAGAGTAACAGAAATCCAGGGGCAGAAATAAAGTTGTCCAGTTATTCTGATGTAAGGATTGTGGTGCCATTTCACAAAGATAACCATAATTATTTGAACTTGTGATATCAGTGGAATTCAATGCCACTGGGGCTATGTGCTGGAGCATTGCTTGGCCCCATCCCAGCAGCATTTACATTATCATGGCAAAGCAACTACTTGGCAAATTAAGTCTATGGCAAGGTACAAGAACACCAATTTAAATAGCTCATTGGGAGATCTAAGCAGTTATGTCCTCTTGCAGCACCCTGTACTCCCATAAGTGCGAACTCATCAGACCGTAGCCTCTTCCTAATGCTTTTGAGCCTTGCCAATTCATTTGGAACAGGAGACTGCCATGTCCAATTATAAATGGGTAAGCGTTCAAATGAACTTCAATGCTGGAAGGACACTGAGAACAGTGTTTCTACTATCTGAAGCAGAATACTGGAAATGAAAAGATTTAGTCGGAACAAACATACAAACTATTTTAAGACATCGAAGGAAAAACAGCTTCAGTTGATAATTACAAGTCTTTTTGTTGTTTATTCGTTCAGTTGTTTCCAACTCTTTGTGTGACCTCATGGACCAGCCCACGCTAGAACTCCCTGTCAGCCGTTGCCACCCCCAGCTCCTTCAAGGTCAAGCCAATCACTTCAAGGATACCATCCATCCATCATGCCCTTGGTCGGACCCTCTTCCTTTTCCCTTCCATTTTCCCCAGCATCATTGTCTTCTCCAAGCTTTCTTGCCTTCTCATTACG